AAAGTAAATATCATATTCGATCTATCAATTTTATAAAACCATAATATAAGGTACTAAGTTTGTCTTCCTTCTTTACATTCAAACCCTTAAGTTTCCCAGGAGATAACACACTATTCACTGTAACTTCTAATTGCTCACCCACTTTCATATATGTCAGTGTCAGCATTCCTACCTCCTCCCTCAGATAGAGCTTGGCCACAAAAATGTCTACCTCTTCAAACCCACAGAAAGTTTATACTGCAATCTAAGTCAAACACAGACAACTGATTTAAACTATCAGCCATTATCAGGTGGAGCACTGGCATTTTGTAATCTTTCCTCCTGCCTTAGTATTTTTAAATGTTGGTCTTGACCATTAATAAATTGATTTCAAAATCAATTAATAGGTCGTGTACATGACTTGCAATTCAAAGCATTACCCCAGAACCTGGGCCATAATTCTTTATCAGACTCAATCAAATTTAATATACTCCAAGTGTGGTATGAATCCAACAAGCGTATGAATTATGGTGGTTAAAAAAGGAAAATAAGAAGTAAGAAAAGGTAATAAGCACCAAGCATTGTAGCACTCGCCTTTAACCCTAGCTCTTGGAAGGCAGAGGCAGGAGAACCTGAGTTCTAGGTCAGCCTGGTTTGAAGACTGAGCCCCAGGACAGCCAGGGCTACATAGGGAAACCCTGTCTTAAAACCAAAAAAGGGGGGTGGGAGGAGAGAGAGGGAGGACAAGACTGAGAATATAGCTCAGTGATAGATCACCTGCCTACTATGCCTGAGACTCTAGGTCTCCCAGTACTGAAAAATAACTGATGATAACAAAGAGGATGGATATAATGACACACACCTATAATCCCAGCATCTAGGAGGTGGAAGCAGGTACATCAGGAGTTCAAGGCCAGCCTCAGTTATATAGCAAGTTTGAATTGAGGTTAACCTGAGCTACATGTCTCAAAAAAAAAAAAAAAAAGATGGGGGTGGCAAGGAATCAAACTTGTCCTGTGATTTCAAGACTGGGTGATAAAATATTTCATGTAAAATTACACACACATTTATATATGACTTCAATGTAGGATTTATAAAATGGCCAGTAACTTAACATCCTTGTGTATGATTTCAAAAACCACTGGAGAGCCTAAACTGCTATTCGATGTAAAATGCAAATACAGTACTTTCCTTATCTGAACACTCATCAACGATAGGCCAAGTTTGAATTTCAAGCATTTAACTCAAGAAGACTGCCATCATATTTTATTTGGACTTTCAGGACAGAATTTCTCTGTATAGCCCTAGCTATCCTGAAACTCACTCTACAGACCAGGCTGCCATTTCATAAGAAGCAAAGTAGAGTGCTTTAACACAATGATTCTACAGAAACTGATTAAAGAAACTTCAACATTTTGAAAGGCAAAGGGGATTTAGAAGAAAAACATTGCAGATTTGGTTGTTTGATATTTGATAGATCTGTGAGATTTGAGGAGTCACTAATCGGGCAGGCATGGTGACACATGCCCATAATGCCTGTACTATGAAGCTAAGGAAAGGACTTCAGTTCAAGGACCTCCTGTTCTAGGCTATGCAGCAAGACCGTCTCAAAAAGCAGTCACTGACGGACTAGGGAAAGAACACTGAACTCTATCACATAAAGTGAGTTCAAAGGGTTTTGTTTGTTTGTTTGTTTGGTTGGTTGGTTGATTTGCTGTTGTTGTTGTTTTGTTTTTTAAAAGGTTATGTGCCAACAGGAGAAAATGAGGATGAAACAACGTATGTATGATTTTCAGTATTAAAATTCTGGGCATAGGAGAAAACTTACAAACACATCAGCCTGTTAGCATCAGTTGTGTACAGGTAGAATATATGAAATACAATTTATCTTCCTAACTTTGTCACTGTTTTACTGTTTAACATGGATGCAAATTCTCTGAGTTAATCCTTTCTCAAAAGAAAAAGAGAGCCCACATTCATATACCTTAAAAAAAAAAGTCAAACTCTCTAAACCTCAATTTCATCTATAAAAGGGTAGCAATTTACTCTTAAGATCACATATAGATTTAAAAGATAAAGGCTCTTTGTAAACTACAAAGCACTATGCAAAGTTAAGGTGTTATGCTAATCTAAGGCACCCAGAACTATAGAACAAGGTAACATACAGACACAGAAATCTACAACAGACATGCAATCTTCTACACTGAGACAACAGGTAGCTGCTAGGCTATTTCCTTGAACTTGTAAAAGGTCTTATGATGCATCTATTTAAATATCAAAATGTTTTCAAATTTCCTATGAACAACAAATAGTGAAGTTTTACATAATATAGCAATGCGCTTTCATATACAAAACAGGTTTTCTGTTAAACATAAGACAAATGAAGACCTAGTCATATAATCCCTGGAATTTGGACTGCCAAATATTCTTTCATAATTTTAAAAAGCCAGGCTCTATAGATATCTAGCAATCTCCAGATGTTCGCTCCCAGAAACCACTTGCTTTGATACACAACACGGCATTTTAAATGGTGGTTCCCTCCTTTGCCTGCATGTCTGGTATTTTACTTACACTTAGTAATAAACATCTCTAGATGGCTATTTAAAATCGAAGTAAACTCCTGAAGGACAAAAGCAAGTGTCCTATGACATTAGTTCACACAAATTTAGCAATATTCTAGCAAACTCATTCTATAGAGATGCTGTACCTGTTGTAATTTAAGAGAAGCAGCTCTCTAGAGAAAGATGTCATGTGATGGGATTCAAGCAGAGGGTTTTTTATTAGAGAAAGGAATCATAAAAGGAGGAAAGGGGAAGGGCGAGACTGGCCTCTGAGGACAGGAGAAGCAGCAGAGAGGAAAAAGGGACAAAGAGAGCGAAAGAAAGAGGAACAGTCAAGACAGAGAAAGGGAGAGAAAGAGAGAAGGATGGGAGGTGGGCAGGGTTCTTTTAAAAGGGAACGAAGTGAATGTGCACAGGTGGTGCTCTTAGTGGCTGCAGCTGAGGGCGTATCCTGTCAGAACCCCAAGGACAGGCCAGTACAGATGCCTGAATACTAAGAGTACCTACATTTAAGAGTTATTATTCACATCATGTTATGATATACCTTCATTTGCATGAGTTATTGTGTGTATGCATGTTCAGGTATACAGGGGTGTGTAGATGCATATGGAAGCGTGCTGCGGTCTAGCATCAGGAATGTTATGTTTTGTTTTGTTTTCTTGAGAAAGGGTTCCTCTGTGTAGACCCAGCTGTCCTAGAGCTCACTCTGTAGGCCAGGCTAACCTAAAACTCTGCCTCCCAGGTGCTGAGATTTAAAGGAATGTACCACCACTACCAGGTGGCATCAGGAATCTTCCTCAGTCACTTGCCACCTTATTCATGGGTCTCTGCACCAAAACCAGAACTCAGAGGTATGGATGGTGGAATTACAAATTCACTGCCATACCCACCCTGGATTTAAATGGGTTCTGGAGATAATGAACTCCCATCCAGCAAGCACCTTAGCTAAAGACAACCAATAAGAAATTAAAACTTATTTAGGGAAAAGAAAAATCAAATGATTACATGAAAAAAATAGCTTACTGAACATTTAAAGGATATTTGAAGCTATTAATATTTGAAAATCAGCCAGGCACTGTGGCATGTGCCAGCAATGGCGGCTACTAGAGAAGCTCTGGCTAAGAGTTCAAGGCTGCCCAAGACAGCACAGCATGCCTTTGTCTTACAAATAAATTTAAAGAAATCAACAAAGAGCTTGGTGTAAAGGAGCACTCCCATAGTCCCCTAATTCTGGAAGCAGAAACAAGAGGATCAACCATTTCAGGATAGCCTCAGCTATGAAGCCAGTTCACGCCCAGTCAGGGCTATGTAAGAACCAGCTCAGAAATATAAAAATGAAATCCCATTGTTCCTTTAAGAAAGCAAGATTTGAGCTGAGGATGTAGTTCAGTTGGTAGAGTGCTTGCCTACCACTTATAAAGTTGTGGGTTTGCCCTCATTGCTCCATAAACCAAGCTGAATGTAGTGACACATGTTTGGTAGGTAGACACAGGAGGATCAAGGCCACAGCAATTTTGAGGCCAGAAAATGCTACTTCTCACACATAATAACCTTCTTGTATTACATTATGAATTTTATATTGTAAACCGATGCGGCTAAGTTTGTATTTTCTTATATTCACCTTTAGACTAATCCCAAGATAAATATATTAAAAATCAAACTTTTATTATAAAAAAATGCCACACAGTATATTACAGCCCTTGGGATACTGACAGCAGAACAGCAATAAATTCAAACCAACCTGGGCTACATAGTTAGGACACGGCCTCAAGGGTGGGGTTAAAACCAACCTCCACTACCACAAAACAAAAAGTGACTTAAAAACTTAAATAAAGGGCTAGAGAGATGGCTCAGAGATCAAGAGCTTTGACTGTTCCTCCAGAGGCCCTGAGTTCAATTCCCAGCAACCACATGGTGGCTCACAACCATCTACAGTGGGAGTCTGATGCCTTCTTCTAGTATAAAGTTGTACATGCAGATAGAGCACTCAGACACATTAAATAAATAAATCTTTAAAAAGTATTTGATAAGAGAAACTTAAGAAAAACATGCTAAAAGAAGGCTAAACATAAATGTATCCAACCCCTGCCTTATGAAAGTAAGATCATTAAGAAAAGTGATATTCATTGGTAGTTTCCTACTCTTGCAAACACACTTGAAGTTTAACGTACATATCCTGAGATGTTGTATGTATACTCATATTAAGATATGGAGGCAACATACCAAAATAATGTGGGGTAACTTTTAAAAAACCGGCTTCCCTAGTGCTGCCTTCCAGGTGACCCTAACATGTGTACGGTACCTAGGAGAAATTTCAAGTACCTGCCAGCCAAACTACCTGAAATCCATCTACTGCAGAGTGAACAGATCCTTTCATTGCTTTTATGTAAATCAAGAGCAATACAAGAAATGCGTGACTCTGATATGGCATCAAAATGGCCAATCATCTGACACTCCTACCTCTGGCTCCCAAAACCACCATGAAGATGTCTTAGAAAGAGCATGTCCTGCAGAATAGAATGTCCCTTATCCAAAAACTCCTTCCAGAGGCATGGTTTGAATTTTAAGTCTTTCTTATTTACAAGACTACCAGGTTCTCTTCAATAAGCAGTTTGTAAAGAATCATCCTGCTGACAAAACACAAATTCTTTGCTTATATAAATGCAGTCATCTCACGGTTTTCCAAGAACCCGTCTAGTCTGGGAAAGGAGATGCAGGCAGCCACTTCCTTGAGAAGAAAAAAAAGACGCTTTCAATATCTGTTACCCCAGAAGGATTTCACATGCTTTGAATTCTTCAGTTGAAAAAAAAAAGAAGTTTTCAGACATAAGTGCTTTCTCTTATATTAAATGGCTCTCTTGGTGATAAAATAAAGATCAATGTAACTCTAAGCTCCAGACTAATGAACTGCAGGGAACAGAAATCTGGCAAGAGCGGAACAGAGCTGCTTAGAGGCTACTAGTAAAATATACCAGCTCCCCTCCCCCCCTTCCTACCCTTTAAGGTTTCAATTAAGATGGGGCCTAGTTTTACTCTTACAAGGGGGCAGACAGAGGAAGCACAGCTCCAGCTAGGAAGTCTCTTCATGGGTTGGGGGGAGGGACGGGGGACATGATGACTCCAGAATATAGACAAAAACCATTTCCTTCCTTCAGCTGGCACAGGCATGTCTCCCCAGGCCTGGAAAACACCAAATCTAAAGAAAAGTCTCATCACACACCACCCAAAAGATGGCATCAAATCAATCACAGTATTTTTTTTTAATCCAACACAGGGATCACAAAAGATGGCGTGAAATGAATTTTTAAGAGTCCAGCATTATCCATCTTTGCTATGCCATAAAAAGAGTATTTGTTTTCCCAATTGCAACACTCCTTTCTCCTGTTTCTCCTGGATTAGTTAAGGGATAACGTTGTTTAACAAGGCAAATATATATATTTTTTTTTCAAAAGTAACTTTTGTGCTCCAATTGGTGAAAAGACACTTTCAAAAAACAGAGAGGCTTCTGCAAGCCCTCCAGGATTCCTCAGAAATAACAAGAAAAGCACAAATGAGTGAAGAATCCCCCAAAGATACTCAATTAGCTTTCACCAAGTGCACAATCTGCATGTTAGTGGACATGCAGGCCATTCTTCCAGCCAGCATGAACTGGGGAGTGAACCCAGACTCAAAACTAAAAGAGAACCAATGAATAGTTAATGCCTCTCTAAAAGGAGCCCAAGAATGAAATAACTTCACTATGTAAGGAATTATAAGACATCAAAGGTTAGATAATGGACAACAGGTGTCTTTGGAGCGACAAGAGCCACAATGAGTAGCTCCTATTTTAGGATTTCCATTCTCAGAGCAGTCTAGAAACAATGATTTCCCCCCCCTCAAGAAGTCAAGACCAAAATGTGGCTCTGCTATTTAACAACTGCAAGAACCTGACGCTGTCTACTTGCTTTTTATTTCACTTTTTTTTAAATCCACTAATCCCAACCTTGTGTGGGCAGATTAAAATATGGCGTAGGGCCAGACGGCTTACTGATCCGTGAACATTAACCATAGATTTATTGTCAAGAAATAGGAAAGAAAAGCTTCAGAATACAGGCTACCACCACATAAAATATTCAAAATACAAATCAAATCCAGGAGCAGGTATCACATAACTGCAGTACCAGCCAAAGCTTCTCTCACCATAACACTTAAAACTCAATCTTTACAATAACTGGATTCCAGTGGCCTCGAAGAATCGTAATTCCAGACACAGGTACTGACTACCCTGGAGATCTTCTGTTCCTTAGACCAGTCACAAAATTCACCACCTGTATTCTGGTCCAAGACGACACTTCAGAATACCGAATAATCCATTCTCTTTCTCTCCATTCCAGGACAGCATATTCCAAAAATGGAGAATCCTTTCTTTCCCCGATCGAGGCCCCCTTCCTTATGGATTCATTGGGCAGGATTACGTCTCTCCAGCATGCAAAGGGAGAACGCACACTTCTGCTTTCACTCTCAAAGGGGGGGTACCCCAACACAGATGCACCTCTTCCTCTCCGGTATTGAGTAAGGGAGGTGCTCGCTCGCTCTCCACCACTGCAAAACGTTCCGAGAAGTGGAGGGAAGTTGTCAGCTGCAAATACAAAGACTGACGAGGTGGTGCCTCCAACTCAGAAGTGGGATTGGGGAGGGGGGATCCCTACTCTCTGCGGAAAGGCTGCCCAGTCCCTGCCTAGAACTCTCTGAAAGTGTAAAGATGTACCCTGAAGGAGAAGTCCGTATTAGATTGAAGGGGTGCTCCCACTTTAATCGGGGTCGGAGGACAGTGTTAAAAGTGTACCGGGATGGAACGCAGCAGTTGCTGGGGTGGGAGAGCTGGGGGTCGCCGAGGGGGAAGGAGGACCCCCCGCACTTGAAGGGGGCTCTGGGAGGAGAGGAGGTGGATCTGGAGGCGAGAGCCCCATGGGGGAGGGACCCGCCCGTCCCGGAGCCGGCGGCGGCGGCAGCGGGGCTGCAGCCTCGCCGGGACCATGTGCGGGCAGCGGCGGCCACCCCACGGGGCAGCCGGGGGAGCCGGGCCCGCGGCGAGCGGGAGGGCGGGCGGGCGGGCGCGCGCGCGCAGGAAGCCGGGGTCCCGGGTCACGCACGAGGGGCGCGAGCCCGCGGCCGGACTCACCGAGGCTGCCGGCGAAACCGTCCATCTTGCCGGGGGGAGGACGCGCCGGGCTCGGGACTCAGCGGGGCGGGCGCTTCATTCAGAACACCGACCGAGTGTGGCGGCCGCGGAGCCGGACGCGCTCGTCCTCAGCGTCGCCCGACGCGGCTCCTGACTCCCGCCTCCGCCGTCCGCCCGTCTGTCCGTCCGTCAGCCCGGGGAGGGGGGGGTCAGGGTGAGAGCCGCACAGCCGCCGCTCGCCCGGCCTCTCTCCTCTCTCTCCTCTCTCTCCTCTCTCTCCTCGCTTGCTCGCTCGCCCAAGCCGCAGCAGCGAGCGCCGCGCCGCCGCGCCGCGCCCCGCCCCCGCGCACGCCGTCACGCTTCCGACCCCGCCCCCCACGTGATGGATGGGGCGGGGCTCCGGACGGCACGCCCCTCCCCTTGCCGGGCCTCTGCAGGCGCGGAGGTTACTGGAGCGGAGAGGCTGTTACTTGGCTCTGCTTGCTTTGCGTTCTGGCCTGGGGTTCGCGTCCGGTGTCCTCCGACCTGAAGCTGGATCTGAGTGGGCGGGACTCGTGAGCAGCCTGCTGCTTGGGAGAGTCCAAGTGCATGGTGGGATTCTCGCCCCTCTAGAGACTCTGTCTAGTCCATTTCTGGAGTTCTCTTGAAGGGAGATAATCCCACAAGGACTCTAAAGAGGGATTACCCCTTCCTGGGGTCCCCCACTCCTCTAGTCAGGTGAGGAATAATAAATAAATAGATAAATAATATAATAAATAAATAGAGGTAAGGCTTCTTACTAGCTTGGGGCCAGCACTGCCGCAACCGCAGGTCTCAGGGTAGATGTCAGTGCTGGATGAAGAAAAGTTCATCTTGCCCAGTGGTTCTCAACCTTCCAAACGCTGCGACCCTTTAATACAGTCCCTCTTGTTGTGCTGACCCCCAACCATAAGATTCTTTTCATTGCTACTTCATAACTGTAATTTCGCAACTGTTGTGAATGGTAATGTAAATATTTGATATCATGATCCACAGGCTGAGAGCCACTGATCTTACCCAACTCTAATGAGGAAGGACACTGGATCTTGAGAATGTAGCCTGCCCAAGGTTATGGAGCCTGGTGGAAGTTCGCCTAAAAGGCAGGCTTCCTTCCTGCCCCTTCTTTCCATCAGGAGGCTGCAAGACACAGGATAACCTATCAGGAAACTGTAACACATGTTTTTAAACCTATGAAGTTACCTAACTTATATAGTCCTCACTTCATTCGTTTGCAAGTTCAAGGGCTAAACTTATAGCCAAAACATGTTCCTTCCCCCTCCTGGTCCTCTAAACCTACCCCCCTCCTTTATAAAGACATTTGAATAGTTCCAGTCCCCTCTGGGTTGGAGGTTATGCAGATTAGAGTAACAGAGGACTGTACAGTGTTCCGAAACTTAATTGGATATACCTTTTAAAAGAGCATCTGTCAATAGAATTGCAGGTTACAAGGGACAAACAGAAGCAAGAAGAGAAGAAACAGAAGGCAGAAACTGTCATAATAAAGGGATTTACAGAACTAAATGATTGAAAAGGACTGTTAAACATCCTTGAAGTATACTTCTCCCCTTTGATGCCCCTTTAAAAGTCTTCCCTAAGGGCCTGGGGGCATGATCCAGAGACAGACTACACTTAGAATACATGAGGCACTGGGTTTGATCCCCAGTTCTGGGGAAAAAGAAACAAAATCTTCCTCAAAAACCTAAGTAAATGTCACACCAAAGCTAGGTGACTGAGACCCAGCAGGACTGAAAGGTGGCACAGCCTGTAAACTGCTTCTGTGCAAGGTTGGGAACCTGAGTTCAACCCCAGAACTGACAGCTTTAAAAGGGCATGATGGAGGAAACTTAAAAATCCCAGTGCTGCCAGGCGGTGGTGGCAGAGGCAGTCGGATCTCTGTGAGTTCGAGGCCCGGCTGGACCGACAGCCTCCAAAACAATACAGAGAAACCCTGTCTGATAAAAACCAAAAAAAAAAAATCCCAGTGCTGGGGAGGTAGAGACAAAGGGAGCCTTGGGGCTTCCTAGCCAGCCAACCTACACAGAGAACTCCAGGTCAACAAGACAAAGCAGGTGAAGAGTCACACCTGAGATTGACCCCCGACAAACACATGCACAAGCACACACAAACGAAAGCAAATACAACATTGCCTTTAAAAGTAATTTTTTTTATTTTTTGTCAAGACAGGGTTTCTTTATGCAACAAGTCCTGACTGTCCTGGAACTCACTTTGTGTAGAACAGGTTGACTTCAAACTCTAAGATCCATCTGCCTCTGACTCCTGAGCCTTGGGACTAAAGGTGCGCAACACCACCACCCTGCTAAAAATAAATCTTAACTAAAAGCAGAGGAAGGTAATTTGGGTTTTTATTCCAGCATGGTAGACTGATTTTTAACTTATTGGTAGTTGAAGTAAAACATGACTTTACACTTAGAGTAAAGATACATTGCTAGAGGTATTCTGATTTCCTTTCATGCGATTCACACTTCAAAAAGAAAAATGTACAATGTAGTGTGCATTAAAAACTGCTGTGCTGCATAGCTGAACGTGTTTCTGACAGGGGACAATGTCTGTCTTGGCTTGACATCAGTGAAAACCAAATTCTCCAGTTACAATGTACTTATCTAATTAAGCAAGGATCTTCCCCCTCCATCAGCTCCGGGGTCTGTGTGTTGCAATCCCTGCTTCCCCCACAGGCTTCACATCCGGCCATAAGGTCTATATCATGTTCTGACCTCTAGCCCTGAAACTCTGTGACAGGATGCCAGGTGAGTGAGTGCAGCGGGCCACAGGAGCACTTCCCAGAACCTGCTGCAACAGCGATTCAATGCAAATGACTACAGCCCTTGTGGAATCTATCACTAAGTTTAAAACGTATCCCCAACTCAGCTTTCCAAAGCCAGATGCCCCAAATATCCAGCTATTCCAATACTGCCTGCCGGAGTGGAATATGTAACAGGGAGAAGACCGTCATGGAAAGACACACCGTAGTCGCAGCACAAACTCACGTTGCAGGGCAAGGTGTACTCATCTGTAATCTCAACAACCCTGGAGGCTGAGTCGGAAAAATCAGAAGGTTCCATGTCATCTTCAGATACATAACTATTTGCTATGTATCTGAAGCCAACCTGGACTAGATAGACCCTGTAACTTTGTCTCCAAGAACAAACGGGAAAATTGGGGACAGGTAGTAAAGAAACCCTAAACTCAAGCATTGTTAATTTCATGGTAAACCTGCCTGCATTAGTTGTTTTTACCAAAGTAATCCAGATTTATTCTGAGACCAACCAAAGGTGTTTTTGTGGTTGTTTTTTTAAAGACTGAGACAGGAAAAATGAAATAAAAATTCAGAATGAGGACAAATAAGGGTTGAGGAGATGGCTCATTTGAATAGGGTAAAATATTTACTGTGTAAGCAAGCCTGAGGACCCGAGTTCAAGTCCCCAGAACCCATATAAAAAGATAGCACTTCAGCTGGGTGGTTGGTGGTAACACCTGCCTTTTGTCCCAGTTCTTAGGAGACACAGGTAGACAGATTTTGGATTTCAAGGCCAGCCTGGTATACAGAGTGAGTTTCAGAGAAGCTAGGGCACCACAGAACAACATTGCCATGAACAACAACAAAAAAAGGTAGCACTTCAATCTGAGTTTTTAATCCAGCCCTGAGGTGACAAAAACAGGCTAATCCCAGGGCTTTCCCTGGGCCAGTTCATCAGCTTAGCCAAAATAGTAAACTTTCTAGGCTTCAGTGAGAGACCCTGTCTCGTGAGGTGGAAGGGGATAGAAGACAGTCAACAGAGATCTCAGGCTCCATAGGCTTACCTAGACGCACACGCCATCCATGTTCCGGTGCCACCTGTTCGAGCACACGTAGTCACACACACCGATTAGGCAGTAACTTAGGTGCAATCACCTTGCCACAGTGATTCTAGGATCTTTCTGGGATGAATATGTTTTATTTCCTTCTTGATGAGAATCATATGAAATCGAATTTACCAGAATTCTCAACAGCATGGAGGGGAGGAAAAGTCCTTTTCTTCAAATATTACTCTGTTTCTCAGGAAATTCCATTGTCCAGTGAACTCCATGGTCCCTGGTTTCATTTCCCTACAAGGTTCTTTCTTGTCCTCTATCATATTTTGTCACTAGTCCATTCTCTAGGACCTAGTCACATGACCATAGAGTGGGAAATGTCTTACTGTCTGTCCAGAAGGAATGTGTAGTCATGCTTCTCATTCATGGCATTCATTAGAGTTAAGTTTTTTCTCCTCCAGTTCATTCATTTAGTCCACTTTACTTGAGTGGTTATTTAGTATGTGTTTCAGTCACTAGGCTAGACACTGCAAAGACAGCTTCTAGAACATGTATGAAGCGCTTGACAAAGCAGCCTCTGCCAGACAAAGCAGCTTCTGCCAGGCCTAGTGGTGGTGCACACCTTTAATCCCAGCACTCTGGAGGCAGAGTCAAGTGGTTCTCTGTGAGTTCAAAGTCAGCCTGGTAGTTCCAGGACAGCTAGGTCTACACAGAGAAACCCTGCCTTAAACAAAGGAAGGAAGGAAGGAAGGAAGGAAGGAAGGGAGGGAGGGAGGGAGGGAGGGAGGGAGGGAGGGAGGGAGGGAGGGAGGGAGGGAGGTAACCAGGCAGATTTGGGGAGGGCTGGGAGTATAGCTCAGAGCATGTGCTTGGAGCTGATCCCCAGAACCACATAAACAAAGCGTGGTGATACAATATTTGGTAGGTTGAGGCAGAAAGATGAAGAATGCAATGTCACCACTGGCTCTATAGCAAATATGAGGCCATACTGAGTTATGTGATACATGGTTTTAAAAACCAACCAAGCAAACAACATCCACCAATGCATAGAGACTCCAGAATCATAGCATTATAGTGTCTAGATTCTAATCCCAGCTCCATCACTTCCAAGCTAAGTAACATTAGACAAATCGTCTAATCCCTGTACCTCAGGATTTCACAGGTAGCATGTGATAGTCACATTTCTGCGGCCTAGAGCTTCAGAGAAGATAGAGCGTGATAGCCCAGGTAAAACTCCCAGAACAGGCCCCAGTGAGCTGGAGGCATTGTTAGCTGCTGTAATCACATGAGTAGTTACACTTCTCCTGTTTTCCCCACCAGTACAGACTCCAGTATATACAGTAGCCGGGCAGCAAATATTTACTGAGTAATGAATAAACATGGGAGAACTCATTATTTTACTTCCCAATGCACAGCTGCTTTAAAGCAACTAATTTGTCTGTCTTACATCTATCTCCCCAGTGAGATGTTGACAACTATCTAACGAAGTGAAACAT